AACCCTGCTATAATTGCTTATGAGGTCCAGTTTTTTTGTTTATTCTTTTGGACTTTTTTATGTAGACAGTTATGTCATCTATGAACAAAGACAGTTTTATTTTTTCCTTCTCAATCTGTATACCTTTTATTTCCTCTTCTTGTCTTATTGCATTAGCTAGGACTTCTAGTAGGATGTTGAAAAGCAGTGGTGAGAGGGATGCCCTTGCCTTGTTCCTGAAGTTGCCCTTGCCTTGCTCTTGAAGTTGGGAAAAGTTCAAGTTTCTCACCAGTAAGTATGTTAGGGGTAGGTTTTTTATAGCTTTTTTTTTTTATCAAGTTGAGGAAATTTCACTCTTTTTCCTAGTTTACTGAGAGTTTTTATCATGAATGGGTGTTGAATTTTGTCAGATGCTTTTTCTGCATCTATTGATATGATCATGTGACTTTTCTTTTTCAGCCTATTGATGTGATGGATTATATGAATTGATTTTCAAATTTTGAACCAGCCTTGCATATTGGGATAAATCCCACTTCGTCATGGTGCATAATTCTTCTTTTACGTTGTTGGATTCAATTTGCTACTATCTTTTTGAAGATTTTCGTATTTATATTCATGAGAGAGATTGGTCTATAGTTTAATTTTCTTGTAATATCTTTATCTGGTTTTGGTATTAGGGTAATGCTGGCCTCATAGAATGAGTTAGGAAGTATTGTCTCTGTAGATAAGTGGTATAATTTCTTCCTTAAATGTTTGGTAGAATTCATCAATGAACCCACCTCGGCCTGGTGCTTTCTGTTTTGGAAGGTTATTAATTGTTGATTCAATTTCTTGAATAGAAAAAGGCCTATTCAGATTGTCTACTTCTTCTTGTGTGAGTTTTGGCAGATGGTTTCTTTCAAGGAATTGGTCAATTTCACCTAGGTTATCAAATTTGTGGGCATAAAGTTTTTCATAATTGTTCATTTATTATCCTTTTAATATCCATGAGCTCTGTAGTGATGTCCCCTCTTTCATTTATTTATTTGTGTATTATTATTTATTTGTGTATTCTCTCTTTTTTTCTTGGTTAGCCTGGCTACAGATATCAATCTTATTTATCTTTTCAAAGGACCAGGTTTTAGTTTCTTTGATTTTTGCTGTTGATTTCTTGTTTTCAGTTTCAGTGATTTCTGCTATCGATTTTATTATGTATTTTCTTCTGCTTACTTTGGGTTCAGTTTGCTCTTATTTTTATATTTTTCCAAAGTGGAAACTTACATGATTGATTTTAGATCCTTCTTCTTTTCTAATATATGCATTTAGTGCTATAAATTTCCCTCTAAACACTGTTTTTGCTGCATCCCACAAGTTTTGATAAATTGTTATTTTCATTTAGTTCAAAATAATTCTAAATTTCTCTTCAGAGTTCTTCTTTGACCCATGTGTTATTTAGAAGTGTGTTGTTTAATCTCCAAGTATTTTAGGATTTTCCTGCTACCTTTCTGTTATTGATTTCTAGCTTAATTCCATTGTGGTCTGAAACCAGACATTGTATGATTTCTATTTCTTTAAATTTGTTCAAGTGTATTTTATGACCCACAATGTGGTCTATCTTGGTGAATGTTCCATGTGAGCTTGAGAGGAATGTGCACTCTGATTTTGTTGGATGAAGTTGTCTATAGATGTCCATTATAGCCAATTGATTGATGGTGGTGTTGATTTCAACTATGTCCTTACTGATTTCCTGCCTGTTAGATCTGTCCATTTCTGATAGAGGGGTGTTGAAACCTCCAACTATAATAGTAGATTCATCTCTTTCTCCTTGAAGTTCTATCACTTTTTGTCTCATGTATTTTCACACTCTGTTGTTAAGTGCATACACATTAAGGATAGTTATATCTTCTTGGAGAGTTGCCCCTTTATCATTATATAATTCCCCTCTTTATCCCTGATAACTTTCCTTACTCTGAAGTCTGCTGTCTGAAATTAATATAGCTACTTCTGCTTTCTCTTAATTAGTGTTATCATGGTATATCTTTCTTAATCCATTTATTTTTAATCTATATGTGTCTTTATATTTAGAGTGGGTTTATTATAGGCAACACATAGCTGGGTCTTGTTTTTTGATACACTCTGACAATCTCTGTCTTTTAATTGGTGCATTTAGACCATTGACATTTAAAGTGATTATTGATATAGTTGGATTAATAGCAACCATTTCTGTTACTGTTTTCTATTTGTTGCCTTTGTTGTTTCTAATTTTGTCTTCCACTCCTTTTCTGCCTTTTGTGGGTTTTTTTTAAAGGTTTGTTGAATGAATGAATGATTGAATGGGTGAAGTTGAAGGTAGTTGTTTATTTATTTAGTTAGTTAGTTTTTTGGTGAAGAGGATTGGCCCTGAGCTAACATCTGTTGCCAATCTTCCTCTTTTTGCTTGAGGAATATTGTCCCTGAGCTAACACTTGTGCCAATCTTCCTCTGTGTTTTGTATGTGGGATGTCACCACAGCATGGCTTGATGAGTGGTGTATAGGTCTGCACCCAGGATCCAAACCCACAAACCCTGGGCTGCCAAAGTGGAGTGTGTGAACTTAACCACTATGCCACTGGGGCAGCCCCTTGCCTTTTTTGATTTTAATTGAGCATTTTACATGATTCCAATTTTTCTCCTTTCTTAGCATATCAGTTAAACGTCTTTTACTTTTTTTATTGGTTGTCCTAGAGTTTGCAGTATACATTTACAACCAATCCAAACGTTATACTGCTTCACAGGCAGTGCAAATACCTTATAACAACAAAGTAATTCTAACTCCTCCCTCCCATGCCTTGTATCATTGCTGTCATTCATTTCATTTATACATAAGTAACATAAACATATATATACATGTAAGCATACATAATTGAATTCAGGGTTGTTATTATTTTGAAGAAACTCTGATCTGTTAGATCAATTAAGAATAAGAAAAATAAAAGTTTTAACTTTATCTTCACTTATTTCTTTTCCAGTGCTCTTCCTTTCTTTATGTAGACCCAAATTTCTGACTTACATATTTTCCTTCTCTCTAAAGAAATTCTTTTGACATTTCCTGCAAGGCAGGTCTATTGGCAACAAATTCCTTCAGTTGTTGTTCATCTGAGAAAGTCTTTCTCCATTTTTGAAGGATAATTTTGCAGTGTAGAATTCTAGGTTGGTGGTTTTGTTCTCTTAACACTTTAATTATTTCATTCCATTCTTTCTTACATGCATGATTTCTGAGGAAAGGTCAGATGAAATTCTTATCTTGCTTCTTCTGTGGTTAAGGTGTTTTTTCTCTGATTTCTTTCAGGATTTTTTTCTTTATCTCTGATTTTCTGCTGCTTAAAAATGATATGCCTATGTGTAGTTTTGGGGGGCATTTATCTGCTTCTCTTAGCTTATGGGATCTATGGTTTGGTGTTGGACATGAATTTGGGGAAATTCTCAGTTATTGTTTCAAATATTTCTCTGTTTCTTTCTCTCTTTCTTCTCCTTGTGGTATTCCCATTACATGTGTGTTACACCTTTTATAGTTGTCCTATAGTCCTTGGATATTCTGCTCTTTTTTTTTTAAGTCTTTGTTCTCTTTGCTTTTCAGTTTTGGAGGTTTCTATTGAGATATCTTCAAGCTCGGAGATTCTTTCTTCAGCCATGTCCAGTCTACTAATTAGCCCATCAAAGGCATTCTTCATTTCTGTTACAGTATTTTTTTATCTCTAGCATTTCTTTTTTGGTTCTTTCTTAGCATTTCCATCTCTGCTTATATTGCCCTTCTGTTCTTGCCTACTGTCTGCTTTTATCCATTAGAACCCTTAGTACATTGATCACATTAATCATCATTGCTTTAAATTCCCAGTTGGATAACTGCAACATCTCTGCCATATCTAAGTCTGGTTCTGATGCTTGCTCTGTCTCTTCTGTGTTTTTTGTCTTTTAGTATGTCTTGTAGTTTTTTCTTGATAGGAAGGCGTGATGTACTAGGTAAAAGGAACTGCCATCAATGGGTCTTTATTAACATGGTGGTAAGGTGTTGGGGGAGAAGAAGTGTTCTATAGTTCTATAATTAGATCTCCATCTTTTAGTGAACCTGTGCCTCTGGACTGCAAACTTCATGTGTGTGTCTTCATTTTCTCCCCCACTTAGGTGGGACAAGATAGCTAGTGTGGGCTGGAATTGGGCATTTTTTTTCTCCAGGTCAGTTAGGCTCTGATAATACCCCAGCGGGTTAGGCTCTGGTTAACTAGTTTCCCCTGAGGGCAGGTCTTGTCTGGTGTATTTCAAAAATGTTTCCTCTTTCTCTCCTCTGGAAGCACTGGGGGATTTTTCTGTGATACTTAGCGTGGGAATCTAGTTGAGCTCCTACAGATAAATCTCACAGAGTTGTAGGGACCCCCACTATCACTGGATCCCCCTGGAATTTTTAACTCTCAGAGTTGTCCACTCTGAGCCTCCAGCAACTACAGTTCTGGTTTTCCTCCCCGGCACTGGCTCCCGAGGGTAGTTTCTGCTTGTGAGTCTTTGCTCTGGTAAATTGTTCTCCTCTGTGTTCTCTTGTTGGTCGCTCCAATCTTGGGCACAGCAAATCCTGGAAGAACTGTTGATTTTTCAGTCTGTTTAGTTTTTTACTTGTTGTTGGAAAGAAGTGGCAGCTTCCAAACTTCTTACATGCCAGACAGGAAACTAGAAGTCCTTTTTTTAAAATCAAGGCAAGACACTAAGGTTAAAAGTGGCATTTATATCATGTCTGTAGGTAAATAGAGTTATCACTCTTACAAAATATTTCTAATGAAGAAAGCTTATCTACATATAAAAGCAAAATGTCAAGAATTTAAAAAACAAATCCCCACAATGTTCCTCATCCAATATAATAGGCTCCTAGAAGAGAAGCCTTTCCTAAATCTTTCTGAATGCTGCTAATTTATATTTTGTGTGGGTGTGATAGTGCTTACTTTTCTCATTGCCGTATCTCAGTATTTCTTTCCCTACAGTATTAAACGGATCTACTTAAAAGAAAGAGACCGGGGTTTTTACTTGAAAAGAGAAAATTAAAATATTTTAATATAAATCTCATGCCTTTGAAAAACTACAGATGGGATGAATGCTCGCTAATGTTCACTTTAATTTTGTTGATTAAAAACCCAAATCCCCCCAAATACATTGTTTTTACCAATATTTTTCGAGTTCAAAATCTAAATAAATAGATGCTCTTAATCAATTAACATTATCTTTGTATATATTCTGTGCATTGAGAAAGTAGGAAATGGCTTATTTTTTATTTGAAGGTGGAAGTCTTTGGCTTCTAGGCTGCCACCAACACCCCCTGGTGACAGTTGGATTGTGAGCTCCACAGTGGGCCTGGGCTTGGTCACTGCACGTCTGCAGCCAAGTGTGCAATTAAGTCTCTGGCATCTTGCATGGCGGAGGGTATCTCTGAGCCATTCTCAGTCACTTGGGTTCCAAACAAGAACACCTTCCTGTCGTTTCCCACCTCAGATAATGCCAGAGCTTCATGGATATCTGTAATGCGATAGGCGGCTTCAAGATCCTTCACTCACAATGGAAAAAGAGTACGAAAAAAAAGTGGGTTATTTTGCAGTCCTTCTGAATAAGATATATTTATTACTCTCATTTATTGCTCTCAATGACCCCATCTCCATTTTAATACAGAGGATATTGTGACCCCATTATTATGACCCTAGTAGTTGTTTGACTAGAAAGATTTTCATCAGAATTATACCAGCACTTATGAGTTATCATCCAAAAAAGTATTTTCTGGAATGAAGTTAAGCCAATATAATACCTTAATCAATTTTCTAAACAGTGCAGTCAATCTGCTTCTGATTTTCTATTTTCCTTTTTATTTTCCCAAGGTTATATTCAACAGGACCTTTTTTGTTTTTTTTTTTGAGGAAGATTAGCTCTGAGCTAACTGCTGCCAATCCTCCTCTTTTTGCTGAGGAAGACTGGCCCTGAGCTAACATCCATGCCCACCTTCCTCTACTTTATATGTGGGATGTCTACCACAGCATGGCTTGCCAAGTGGTGCCATGTCTGCACCCGGGATCCGAACCAGCAAACCCCGGGCTGCCGAAGTGGAACATGTGAACTTAACTGCTGCGCCACCAGGCCAGCCCCATGGATCAATTATTTTTAATTTATCTTTAACAATAGAAATTTGATTCATTAATTGGTTTTTGTTCATATCGTATTTTACTGATTATAGCATTTGCCATTGTGAGTTTTCTTTTGTGGCCATTATTTCTACTGAAACAAAAAATTTTGGATCAGACTTTGAGGGGTGGAGGTTAGATAGAGAAGGAAGCAGGGAGGGAGTGGATTTAGAAAATGGAATGGTGGGAGAAGGAGGCCAAGAGGGGAGGGACAGGTGGAGAGAAAGAGGACAAGATGGAGAGATGACAAAGGCTTAAAGGAGGGAAACCCACAGGGAGAGGCAGAGAGAGGAGAGATTCAAATGAGCAGACAGAGAGCCTTTGCTTATGCGCACAGCAAGGTCAAAACCTTCTTGAGGTCAAAATGGCAAGGTCAAAACATATTTCTTTGCCTCTCATACATCAAGAATTATTTATGCAAATGGCTTCCGATATTTCCTTTTCTAAAAACACACACAGATTCAGTTATAGTTTTTCAGTCCTTTGCAAAAGTTTTATCATTTTCACTTCTAAAACTGCATTTGTAATTGGCTTTTTGTTGTTGTTTCATAGTGTTCTCCTTAAGTTTTAGGAGATCACTTTTAAATCTCTGGAAATAATCCAATGTTGTGTCATTTTGTTTCATATACCAGTATGACCCTATCCAATTCCATTACTGGGAACCTGTGAGACATTTCCTCATGTGCCATACATAGTTTCTGGCTGGAGTTGATTACTTTCTTGGATGTTGGTCATCCCAATATATTGCCTTTTTGAAATCTGAATTCATTTAATCCTAAGCCTGCAGTGACTTTTGTAGCAGTGTTAATGGATCCAGTGACATGTGGACAATGTCTGAAGTTAATAAATTCCCTGATGGAATTGGAGAGGAAGGAAATAGAAGAAGGAGTGTTGGATGGGAGGAAGGGCTCTTTGTAATGATAAAAGCTTATCAGGGCTAAATACCAGGTTTATTCCACACTTACATAATTGTGCCTTAGTTTTATTGTTTTTTTTTTTCTTTCTTTCTTACAATTGTGCTTTAAAGAGGTCATCACTGAAAGAATAAAGATAGTAAGAAGACTTTTTAAAAAATCTTACATAATAACAATCTGAAAGCATAAATTACTTTGGCCAAGGAATATCAACAAAGATGCATTAATCTTAAATGAGAATATCCAAACCTTTCATTATTATGCCCTAGGAAAAGCTATAAATTTGACACCAAATGGCTCTGTTTATTCAATTTGATGAAGCTAAGAGATACAAACCACAAAGGAAAGTATTGATACATTTGAATGTTAAAAATGGAAACCTCATGTGCAAAAAGCCCTGGTGGTCTAGTGGTAAAGATTCTGCACTCTCACCACCGCGGCCCTGGTTCGTTTTCGGAACCCGGTGGTCAGGGAACAACACCACCCACCTGTTGGTTGTCATTCTGTGGTGGCTGTGTGTTGCTGTGCTGCTGAAAGCTATGCCACCAGGATATCAAATACAAGCAGGATCACCCATGGTGGACAGGTTTTCAGCAGAGCTTCCAGACTAGACAGACTAGGAAGAAGGACCTGGCCACCCACTTCCAAAAACATTGGCCAGGGAAACCCTATAAATAGCAGCAGAGCTTTGTCTGATATAGCGCTGGAAGGTGAGAGGATGGTGCAAAAAGACTGGGCAGGGTTCCACTCTGCTGTACACAAGGCCACTAGGAGTTGGAATCTAACAACAACAAATGTATAAAAAAGGAAACCATAAGCAGAATAAAATGATAAGCTGGAGAAGGTATTTGTAGTACATGAAGAATGAAACTAATTTGAAACTAACAAGCAATAAACACCTGAAAAGACATTCAAGTTCACTACTGGTTAAGAAAATGCAAATTAGAATAGTAAAATAAAATTTCAGCCCCATCAGATTGGCAAAAATGGAAAAGTTTGACAATACCAAGTATTGGCAAGGATGTGATGCTGCAGAAACTGTCATATTCTGCTGGTGGAAGAATAAATTGATGCAGTATCTTTGGAAGCAACTTGGTAAGAGCTAGTAAAATTGAATCTGTACAAACCCGAAACCCAGCAATTCCTTTTTTAGGTATATGCACTAGAGAAATGTTGATACACATTTACAAGGAGACATATATATGAAGCTTCACTGTAGCACTGTTTATAACAATAACAACTTGGAAATAACCCAAATGCCCAGCAAGAAAATGGTTAAAATGTGATAATTCATGCAGTGGAATACTATACAGCTCACTTACATGTACCCTTATCCTCTACATCTTTGTAGTTTGTGCTACTTAAAATGCTCTATTTTTTTTTTAAAGCTCCATCCTTTCTTTTAAAAATAATCTAAGCTGCTGGACTAGCTTCTATGCTGGATTTTACCATAGGCTCCTACTTCAGGTCATCATTTGTAATTAGTTTACTTTCGTAAACGTTCACCCATTGCAGTATTGGGAGAGAAGGTAGGAATTCACCTCTCTTATGATTGACAACGCTAGCACTTGAGAAAGGGGCTTTGGTAGTATAATGCTATAGGTGTTTATTTTCTTTTACTTTTTTTGTTGTGGTAAGATACACATAAAATTTATCATCTTAACCATTTTTAAGTATGCAGTTAAGTAAGTACATTCACATTGTTGTGCAACCATTCATCTCCAGAATTCTTTTGATCTTGCAAAACTGAAACTCTGTAGCCATTAAACAATAACTCCCCATTCTTCCTCCCCAAGCCCCTGGCAACCACTATTCCACTTTTTGTCTCAATGAATTTTACTACTCTAGGTACTTCATAAAAGTGGAATCATACAGTATTTGTCCTTTTGTGGCTGGCTGATTTCATTTAGCGTAATGTCCTTAAGGTTCATCTGTGTTGTGGCATGTATCAGAATTTCCTTCTTTTTAAGGCTGAATAATATACCATTGTATGTTTATACCACATTTTGTTTATCCCTTCATCTGTGGATGGACACTTGGGTTACTTCTACCTTTTGGCTGTTGTGAATAATTCTCCTATGAACGTAGGTGTACAAATATCTGTTTGAGTCTCTACTTTCATGTCTTTGAGGTATATACCCAGAAGTGGAATTGCTGGATCTCATGGGAATTCTATTTTTAATTTTTTAAGGAACTGCCATACTGTTTTCCATAGCGGTTGTACAGTTTTACATTCCCACTAACACTGCACAAGTGTTCTAATTTCTCCATGGAGGTTTAATATTTTTAATGCTTATGTATGAAGTAAATTAAGGTCAGTCCAATTAATCTGAAACAAACTATTTCTTTATACGTGGCAGACACAAATATTTTGTTGAAATCAATTCAACAATCAGTAAATGTTTATTGAATTAAATTTAACATATTTGTTGAATTCCTACTATGCATAAGGCAGTATTTTAGGTATTACAAGGGACACAGAGGTGAATAACGGTCTCTACCCTCAAGGAATTTATAATCCAGTAGATCTAATAGGTATAAATTGAACTGAATATGCAGCGTATTGTTGAATATCTAGCTGTTAAAAGTAGACATTTCTGGGGCTGGTGCTGTGGCCGAGTGGTTAAGTTCGCGTGCTCCACTTCGGCAGCCTAGGGTTTCACCGGTTTGCATCCTGGGCACAGACATAGCACCACTTATCAAGCCATGCTGAGGCTGCATTCCATATAGCATAACCAGAAGGACCTACAACTAGAATATACAACTACGTACTGGGGGGCTTTGGGGAGAAGAAGAAGGAAAAAAAAAGATTGGCAACAGTTGTTAGCTCAGTTGCCGATCTTAAAAAAAAAAGTAGACATTTCTATTTCTTGTACTAATAATAAAACTATTGAGTACAATTTCTATTTGCACAGACTTTTACCTGTTTGTTTGCAAACACAACCAGAGGAAGGATTGGGTTTGTTCCAATTAGTCGATGAAGGTGTTCCTTGGCTTCAGGTAATCTGTTGTGATCTGCTGAATCCACCACAAAGACCAGCAGCAATCCCCTGGACAGGTACATTTCCCAGTAGGAACGGAAAGGTTCGCTGCCACCAACTACAGAGAACAGGAGAGAAAGAAGACACACAAAGCTCGCAGAAGCGTCCACTGAGGAGGGCAGGAAAGGCATGTGTAGATAATTCTGAACAGTGGACAGGTGTTCTGATAAAATACCACTGTGTGAGAGTGTACCCAATTCTGAGAACAACCAGAGAGATGTTGCTGGGGAAATGGTTGGTGGCAATATTTACCCTCCACAAGTGGTGGTTCATTCATTCTGGAACACAAAGATACTAAATACTACAGCGGATGCTTCCTGATCCTGTTATACATAGTGGCCATAGCAGCCACTCCATGTCTATCAGTTATAGCTCAAAAAATAGGAATAGGCTATTAAAATCATTGAGGGTGGTGGGTTAAAACACCTATTTCTCTAAAATAAGTTTGTTTTTTTTTGAGGAAGATTAGCCCTGAGCTAACATATGCCAATCCTCCTCTTTTTTTGCTGAGGAAGACTGGCCCTGAGCTAACATCCTTGCCCATCTTCCTCCACTTTATATGTGGGACACCTACCACAGCATGGCTTGCCAAGCAGTGCCATGTCCGCACCCGGGATCCGAACCAGTGAACCCCGGGCCGCCCAAGTGGAACGTGCGAACTTAACCACTGCGCCACTGGGCTGGCCCCTAAAATAAGTTTTAAATGTACTGAATTCATTGGCTAGCCTCATTTGCACAATTTTTTTCCTTTGTCAAAATCCCATAACTAATTTCTCCTCTTAATACTGCACTAAGAGTTAATATGATCCTGTGGGCATTCAGGAATACTTGCCTCAGAAAAAAATGCCTTTGGATGATTTCGTTCTGCTGATTCTTCCCAGAAGAAACTTTTCAGTAATGATAATAATATTTACACAATGAATTTAATTTAGTTTTTATTTTTCTCTTAAGACAGAGGTTGGCAAACTATGGCCCACAGTCTAAATCTGGCCTACTGCCTATTTTTGTATAGCCCACAAAGAATGAATTTTACAATTTTAAATATTTGGGGGAAAAAAGTAACATTTCATGATACATGAACGTTATATTGCATTTGGATTTCAGTACAAATAAAGTTTTATTAGAACAGACAGGTGAATTTGTTTGCATATTGTCTGTGGCTGATTTCACATTACAGTTGCAGAGTTAAATAGCTGCAATAGAGATCATGTAGCCCACAAAGCCTAAATTATTTACTATCTTTATTTTATATTGTCCTTTTTATATTGACTAATTTTATATTGTTATTTTTAACTGGCTCATTGTGTTCAAATTTTGTGCATCTTTGCTGATTTTTTTCTCCTTGATCCTCTTAATAATTGACAAAGATATGTTGAAATCCCTCACTGTCCATTCCTCCCCCCAGTTGAATTCTTTCTTTTCTTTTCTTTTTCCTTCTTTCCTTCCATCCTTCCTTCCTTCCACTTTTTATATTTTGAGACTATTTTCTTAGCTATCTATTTAGTTAAAATTATTATTTCTTCTATAGCTTCTGGGAAAATTGAAACCTCTATTCTTAATAATGCTTTTTAGCTTAAAGATTTGGTTACAAGGTTTACCAATTTCTCTGCCCACCATTTTCTCTTCTTAACTGGGTGAAAGCGAAAATAAAAAGGCGACTGCAGTAATCTAAGTAAGAGACGATAGAAGCTCCAAGTCAAATAGGGGCAGTGGGAAAGGATGTAATAGATGAATTCAAGATCTGTTTTAGAGGTAGAAAAATTCATAGTGTTTTACTGTGGACTGGAGTTGGGGGTACAGGAGGAATCAAGGGTGACTCCAAGTTTTCTGGCTTCAGCAACTTGATGGGTGAGGAGCCATTTACTGTCCAGTGCATTACAGGGAAAGGAACAGACATAGAGATAATTCAAGCATTTTGTTTTGCCCATGTTAAGTTTGAAAGGCCAGTTAGACAGCCAGGTACAAATCTCAGGTGACGTTTTGATATGTTTGGGCTGGACAGATAAATCTGGGAGTTTTTAGCATATAGATGGTATTTAATGCCAAGAAGATGGATGAAATCATCCAAGGAGAAAGTGTAAAGAGAAGACAAGAGGATCTGATGCAACTTTGAGGAATAGCAATATTTAGAGAGGCGGCGACTCCAGAACGACTATAGAGTAGGGGCTTCTGGCCTGCCATCTGGCTACAAGAAGAGGTTTGGAGCTTGTCTGTAGTTGCATTTGCAGAGAGGGAAGCACACTGCACACTTAGATTGCGTGTTTATTTGGGATAGTAAGGGAGGGGGGAGGCTGTTATGTGAGAGGCTGCGAAAAAGCCTTCCTCAGCTCCCCTCTATCACCACCTCTGCAAAAAGGAGAAAATACAAAGAGCAGAAACTGATTTCCCCCACGGTGTACCCTAGTATTAATCTACACATGAATTCTAAGAGCCTGGGAAAGTCTGACCCAGTGTTACTTTTCCCAAGGACCCAATGTTGATAACGTTATGTCTGGCTTGAGGTACATAAGCGCGGCTACCCCGTAGCTAATGAGAAGAGGGCTTACTCTCCAGGAACTCCATCTGGCTGTCTTCAGTGTTGATGCACACTGCGTTGAAACCGTGGGTGGGTGCCACACTGTGCTGGACTCTGTTTAAAGCTAGAGAGTGGAGAACGCTGGTCTTTCCTGCTCCATCCAGGCCCAACACTAGGATCTGCTTATTTTTCTCCTGTGAAACAAAAGATAAATCCATAAACTTAGGCTATCAGGGGCCTTGTTTTCCTGCCTCCTGACAGTGTGCCTGCCTGTGGTAGGACCCAATAATATTTGTGGAACTGTAAACCAAAACAAAATTTCACAAGTAATTTAATAGGTCTAGAACAAACTGTACCAATCAGTTTGTATTTTATAATCAGCCATTAGTTACGTGATATTAATTACACATTCCCTCTCCAATCCCCAACTCCTGGTCAATCTGTCAAATAAATACTTTATATATATCAGCATTTATGGGAGGTGCCATAGAGCACAGGGCCAATTTTTCAGACTTCACTTTGCTTCCTGAGTTCGTGTTCATGGGGTTGCACCAGAATTCGATTTGTTGTTTGGGGTCTTGGCACCTTGATGGTCCACATATTGACGGCGCCACTCAGCATGTAAGCGTCTAAGGTCTCGTATTATTAATCTGTCTTGTCTTCCCAATTGGATCACTACATTAAAAGCTCTTAGGGCAAGGTTCCCCCTCTTATACTTTTTAATATAAGTATCATAGTTAAATGAAAAGGCTAAGATTATAGAAATTATCAAACCAGTTCCAATCACAAATGAGCATTTATTTTAAAACCTGATGTTAAAACCTGTTGTACTAGATGTAAACTTTAGAAAGAAGCGTTCCACCAACATACCAGCCTTAGAAATTTTTATGACAAGCGACTGAGGGACAAGAAGGGCAGGCTGGTATGAAGACAGAAATAGAAAGTTCAGAGTGCTCAGAAAGGTGGCTTTTAGGGTACAAACTTTAATGTAAACTGTAATAAGTGAGCAACAATACAGCCAGACTGCTCACAGGAATTCAATTCTATTTCCCACACAGCCTACTAAAGAGGTTTCTCATGAACCGAAAAACACTAGTAAATGTCTTCAATGGCGCTGTTTAAAACATTAATCTTAAACATTTCTCCTTGGACACTAAATGTTGCCGTTAGACTTAGACTGGATTTCTGGTAAAATGTGGTCCTAAGCAGCACTGGAATGTCTATCCCACCTCTTTTAAAAGAATTATTATCGTAAGATCTATGTGAAAGTAATGTGTTTTAAGGTCTGGTCTAGTAGAAACTTGCATAGAGAGCGTGATTTATGAAGACTGTCTAGTGAATAACAGAACTAGAAAAAGTCTATGTTTTTGGAGTGAATTCTTGATAGCTCTTAAATTGAGTGGTATTTCCACAGATGTTTCCTAGCTCCGTTCCCACCACCTTCCCCATTGCTTTCCATCTGCATCTAAATGTTATAATGTCCTTCTGAGAGTGTGATGGTAAAAAGGAGGGACTTGATGCACAAAGGAGACTTCACGGGGTGGTTTGAAATTGCATCTGTAAAGCAGTGGTGGCCCCAAGAAATGGCTGCAGGGTGTGGATTGTGTCCCTCTTATTATCTCCACCAACGGCCCCACTCAGGCTACCCCAACATATCTCATCAATTCCAGGATGCATTTTTTCCCACACAATTTAACATCTCTGAAATGAGGGTTTTACAATCCATGGTATGTCATATATTGGTTGGCACATTTTTTTTCTTTCTTAATGGTACCTAAAATAATGGCATCTTGGAGCCTATGAAATATTGTGAATAAAAACAATTCCCTAGTCCCTTTCCAACCACATTACTGCCCCTAAGCTCATCTTATCTAGTTCTTTTTTTTTTTGTACACTTATTTATTCATTTTCTTTTCAAGTGTTTTTCTTTTCTTTTCTTTTTTTGAGGAAGATTAGCCCTGAGCTAACGTCTGCTGGCAATCCCCCTCCTTTTGCTGAGGAAGACTGGCCCTGAGCTAACATCCGTGCCCATCTTCCTCTACTTTATATGTGTTTTATATGTCTGCCACAGCATGGCTTGACAAGCGGTGCATGGGTCTGCACCCAGGATCTGGACCTGGAAACGTTCCCCTGGGCTGCCGAAGCGGAACGTGCGAACTTAACCGCTGCGCCACCAGGCCAGCCCCCTATCTAGAAGTTCTGCAGTCACTAATGCGCTATGACATCTTGCTTATTTTTTAGTCTAAAATACATACTTCCTCATGCTTATCATCTCTTAAGGAAAGCTGGGATTATTGTAAACCAAGAGTTCGGACACAGAATGTGATTCTGAACACCACTGCTCCTTGTCAAAAGTTATTCCTTTAACTATGTACGGCTCTAGGTAGTCTGTGTTCTACCAGAGATCAAATCTCCATTAATCATTCAAATTGTTTAGAATCAGAAAGCAGCTCTGAGCCCAGGAACTCCAGGAGAACAGAGCCCATTAAGCCAATTCAAACAATGCCTGGTTTTTCTTTTTTTTTTCCCTCCCAATTTTTTAATTGTGGTAAAAGACACATAACATAAAATTTACTATCTTAACCATTTTTATTTCACTCGTATGTGGAAGATAAACTAACACATGGATAAAGAGAACAGAATAGTGGTTAGCAGAGGGGAAGGGGGCCCAGAAGTGGGGATGGGGGGCAGTGAAAGGGGTGAAGGGGCACTTATGTGTGGTGATGGGTAAAATTAGACTATTGGTGGGGAGCATGACACAGTCTATACAGAAACTGATAAATAATAATGTACACCTGAAATTGTACAATCTTATAAACCATTATGACCTCAATAAAATAATTTTTAAAAATTTACCATCTTAACCATTTTTAAGAATATAGTTCAGTGGTATTAAATACATTCATAATGTTGTGCAATCATCACCACCATCCATCTCCATAACTCTTTTCATCTTGTAAAACTGAAACTCTGTACTCATTAAACACTAAGTCCCCATTCTGCCTTCTCCCAGCCCCTGGCAACCACCCTTCTACTCCTTGTCTCCATTTTGATTTCTCTAGGTACCTCATATAAGTGGAATCATAGATATTTGCCTTTTGTGACTACAATGCTGGTGTGTAACCGTCCCTTCTGGGCGGCGGTGATCTGAAAACAATGGAAGCAGTAATCACAGGGTGCACGAGAAAAGTCCAGACAAGCCCCAAACACATCCTGCGCAAATTCAGGAAGCCTGCACCTTCCGACAAAGAACTTATTCAACAGAAAGGATTCGAATAGAGAGCCTGTGTGCGCCGAGGGCTCGGGGCTGGGTTCCGTGTTGTGGGAGTTCTGAGCCAGTGCTGAGCGCTGGACAGAGACGGGGCCGGAAAGCGCCCTTCCTCGCGTCCCCGTGGAGACCAGCTGAGACCTCTTCTTCCTCAGCACTAGACCTGAGAGGGTTGAGATGCAGGGTCAGGGTTAGGGGTAAGGGTGGGCAGAGGGCCGGGGAGAAGGGGCTGGTGATGGGTCGTTCGAAGCTTGGCACATTCCCTCCATCCACAGATTAAAAAGCCCGAAAGCAAGACCCGATTCCCTCCCGCGCGGGTCGGGGCCTCCGACGTAACAGAGCGGGCGCTCGGGCCTGAACGCCGACAATGGCCTCGGGGACAGGGTCCGAGGCACCGGTCCCTTACCCGCGGCTCCAGCGGGGGCTTCGTCAAGATGCTGTTGTTGTCCTTCTCTTTCTTTTCTTTTCCCTTAAATTGTTCCTTCTCTGTCTCCTGCTCTTTCCTCTTTTCTTCCTCTTTACTCCTTTTCTCTTCCTTCTCTTTCTCTTTCTCCTTTACTTTTTCCTTACTTTTCTTCTTCTCCACCTCCTTCCTTTTCTCCTTCTCCTTTCCTTTTCCCCGCATTTTCTCTTTCTCCGGCTCCTTTCCCTTCTCTCTCCTCTTCTCTTTCGCCCTCTCCATCCCCACCGCCTGTTTCCTTCCCTCCCCTCGCGCGCCCGCGCGCTGGAGCTGCGGCCCTGGGTCCCGGCAGGTGTGGCCCCCGCGGGGGGCGCAGGGCCGAGACGTAGGTCCACGCGGCGTAGAGCACCCCCGCGGTCACCGCAGCCGCGGCCAGTCCCCGGGCGCGCCTGCCGCCGCCGGGCATCTCGCCTTCACTCGCGGGGGGCTGCGCGCAGCAGATTCGCGGAACCTGGGAGCGGAAGGAAGAGCGGAGAGGGGAAGGCTGAGTTACAGGAATGGTCGAGCCCAGCCGAGGGGATCCGAGAGGCCCAGCCGCGGGGCAGATCGTCCGTGGAGGAAAGGCGTCCCCAGGTGCTACTTCCCCGGGAGGGCGCACTTTGGCGCGATTCCCTCAGGCTGGGCAGGGCGGGTCTCAGACAGCCCTTCTACGCGGAACAGATCTTAGCGTCTCACCTCCCCCGCATCATCCCCGAGCCTGCACAGCCCACTGTCACCAAACGGTAGAACGCTTGAGGCGCCAGAGTCCTGAGCGTCCCCAGAGGATTCCCTGCTTTCCCGCAGCTAGAAATCACAAGCCTCAAAAGTGGAGTGGGGTATCTCCTCGCCCTCTGCCCACGTTCCACTAGGAATGTCTAGAGGCTGCTATCCAGGATGCTTAAGGAAAAACAATGGAGGAACTTGAACAGTTCCCTTATTTTAAATTCCTGCTACATTCCACTTAAAAAAAATTCCCTGGAGATTAAATTAGTAGTCTGCCAGGATCATAGATACCAGTAATGCCAGATATTAAAACCACAACTAAACAGGGGGACGGCCTGTGACCTAGTGGTTGAGTTCCGCTTGTACTGCTCGGTGGCCAGGATTCTGGGTGTGGACCTATACTACTCGTCAGCCACGCTGTGGCAGCAACCCACATACAAAATAGAAGACTGGCACAGATGTTAGCTCAGGGAGAATCTTCCTCAGAAAAAAAAGTTTACACCTTGGTTTATTTATATACACATACGACATGAAGTTTCAGCGAAGTTAAAACCAGGTTCTCTCAATTCCATTAGATTAGTTTTGTGGCTTGCTGGGAGGGGCAAGGGACAATTTCAGATACTCAGCTTAAAAAATTCTTAGCTACACTAACCAGGAAGTCCTCCATAAAATGCCAACACCCAAAACACCTTAATCCATATTCACTGCTAGAATATTTTATTTTAAAATGTGCCACAGTGAATGGATGTATCCGTATGGGTTTCTATAAATGTACACACACACACATATATATACAAAGTATATATGTCATTGTTTAAAGACCTGTCCAAAAGAAGAAATAATTACTAGCAAGTTAATGTAGATGTTTACACTTCATTTGACAATTATAACTACTTAAACTGAGGATTTAGTTGCTTAGTAAAGACTAACAATGACTGGCAATCACAATGAGTAAAAAGAGAACTGCAAATGTCACTGTTGTACCTTGGGTCAAAATTTTCAATGATGGATAACTTTCACCAAAATTCTGTAGTTTAGTGAACCTAAAAAATAATTATCCTTCACCACAGAAATTTAATGAATCCTAACAAATTTACTAATAATTATTCCTGTAATGGGGAATATATTGAAAAGAATAAATATCTGTCTCTTACCAAGACTATTCTCTGAGAGTTCAAAAAGTATTATGCCATAATAAATCACTCATATGTAGCAGGGTCTCGTTTAGATGCCACCACAGATTCTGATTATGCTGAAGAGAAGGGCAGCACCGCATTTCTTACTCTTATAAAGGAGGAAAGCCTTTTAAAAAAACTCTTCGAAGAAGTTTCATAGATATGTACAACAGAGTCAAACACAGCAGCACTTTATTAACAAGGATGGAGTAATAAGATCACAAGGAAATACTCATAAGTCTAAATTCAATGCTATCTTGGGCTGTATAAAATGAATTCTAACAAGGGTGGGCATCCCAGTGTGTCTGTCTCACAGCTGTTCAAAGGGAAAGTGGCCTGCAAGCAAGGAAAGACCAGAGCGACACTGACACCACAGACTGACTGTATAATACTTCATTACTTTGAGAAGGGTAATGAGTGTTTGTACCCCTAACTAGAAAGAGGAGCCATGAGTATCTTAATTGGGCCAAACAGTTCTGTTAAGTTTTAATACTGCCTGCTACTGAACTCTGGTATTGATTTCGTCTCTAACTAGCAAGTCAATCTTCATGCTCTTGATAGCGGCCATTAAATCTTTCTGATTGAGACAGTCCAAACCCATCTGAACTCAGAACACTGGGTCTAAGAGTCAACTTCTTACAACATTGATATATTTTCCTTGAGTTCTTTAATGGTGCTAAATCAATATAATGTTATCATAATCTGAAAACAATATGGGGGTGCAAAGGAGTCCTAATTTATATATATGTATATATGTATACACACACACATACACACACTATCCCATGTTCCAATATCACATGACAGAGAATTTATGGTCAAAATTAATCAAGACATTTAGTTTTTCTGTGGCCACTCAGGTAATGAAGTGAAGAATACCAGTCTATTAATAAGGTCCCTTTTTATCACATGATATTTCTAAGCAGATATTTGGAATGCTCAGAAGATTCCACTTTCAGTCTCCTAAAGCTCCTAAGACATAATTTAAAGTGGGACTTGATAGGAACAAGTATCTTCAGACTTAGTTGAACCAGTAGAAGTGATTTCTGTTTAAATCCTAGGAAACTTTGGATAACATGCCTTGTTTGTGAAACTGAAAAAAACACCAGATCAGCACACAAAGAGAAAGGATGCAACAGATATCAAGGTAGATATTCTGAGACCTTATCATCTGTGCAAAGCTAGGTGGTACAGGTAGGCCAAGTTTGACTAGGCAGAGTTTGCAGAAGATATTTTCCTGTTTGATGCACAAGAAAATAATTGTATGAAAATGTGGGGATGGGAGAGGGAGCAGCTCTGTGCTTCTTGCTGTGTCACCTTTATCATGTTCCTAATGTCAATGAGACTAGTTAGAAACAGCCTGCAACAAGAATGTTCTAATCACCAGCCACCTTTTCCACCTTTCTTCTTTTTCTGTTGCTGTTTCTTTTTTGTTGCTGGAGCCCCTGCAGGTTTCTGGTGTCTTGGGGGTATGATATTACTTGTAGATGCAGATACTGTTGCTGCACTGCCAGGTCTTGGGGAGGTGGGTGGGCTGCTCACAGTTTTACTGGCATCCCTGAAATCATCAGATTAGGAAAGTGTTGGTTATTCACATATTCAACAAAGGAAAAGGCTATAAAAATAATGTAGGTACATGAATTTTACTGTCTACCCTTAAAAATCTCCCACACATATTCTATTTCTTTTAAGGTGGGTTCCCCAGCTCCCTATCCATTTTTCTTTTGAATAAAATTTTTATTACTTTATAATTAAATAAAAAATAATATATGGTACATGCCAACTTTTAGAAAGTTTGGAAAATAAAGAAAAAATTTTAAAATGACCTATAACCCTACCACATAAACTTATTTATTAACATTTTCAATACTTCTTTCTAGTCACATTTATTTATATCTGTTTATCTAGATATTTAGTTAGTTCAACAACTCAGTGTATTCAGTTTCCTTTTGAAGGTACTGAGACTCTAATATTTACAATACAATCCTACCATCCTACTATTTACAATACAGTCAAACCAGAAATGCCACATTTTCTTTCCTTTACCTAAGCATACTGCAAAACATTTATCAAAGAGATCTGACTCTACTTCTCATACTTAAAATATATTTTTAAAAATTCTTAAAATGATCCTGAGTCATTAGTATGAGATTAGTATGAGACTGACCCTGACTCTTCAATCTCAGAAGGAACCAACCTATGCTGAGTGACTTCAACTGGGGAGCAATGGAGCAATGACTTACAGTTCAGAGGAAGCTCCTGCAGTTGCTCCCTGGGTCCCTTTTCCAATCTGATCCTTCTTTTTACCCTTCTTTCTTCCCCGGTAATAAGAACGTTCTCGCATTGGCAGCCATCTTTCAGGATCTGGGGTCACTTTGGGGTCATAATTCTTAGGCAGTTTTCCTATGTAACAATTAATTGATTAAAGAAATGAGAGATCTGTCCATAATGTTTTCAAGACAGATTGTTTAAACCATGTGTCCAAACCTGGGAATAAGTAACATTAAAACTGAAATAAATTTATCTGAGAAAGTTTTATTTGTATAATCTAGCAGGGGGAAGAGGCCTTATTTCTAAGCATGACATGAAATTCAGAAGCCAGAAAGGGAAATATTTCATAGATGTATCTATATAAAAAATTTTAAATTTCATTTGGTAAAAGACACAATTTTAAAAGAAATAAAACAAAAATATTTGCATACTATATAACAGTGAATTATTATTCTTAAAATAGAATGAACTATTGATAACCACAGGTAAATCATGCAAAGAAGACTGGGTCCAGCTGTAATTAGGATAAGCCAGGAGAAATCAAAGTCTTTAATCATGTGAAAAGATGCTAAACCTAATTAAAAATGAAAATGGTAACAAATTCTATCAAATTATCAAAATTTTAACAAACATTAAAAGTAGTAATACCCAGTGTTGGTGAGACAGTGGGACATAAACACCATAGGCAGAAGTGTATACTGGTATAGCCTTTGTAGAGAGCAATTTCATTTGGTAGTACCAGTCAAAATTTATTACTTCTAGAAATTTATCCT